CCCCAAAACCCCAAAACCCCAAAACCCCATAGTGCAATAAAATGTAACAAGTTACTGCTAATTAATTAAAGATAAGTATAATAGTGTATAGCCAAGATGCTGCTCATACTATGTGCTCCAGCTTGATCTTGGAGAAGTCTACCTCCTAGTAGGCAGTGAACTTTCCAAACTGGTGTTTAACTTTGGCCTCTCTGAGCACTGAATCGACTGGGTCCCTTAGCAAGCTAGGCTCTAGCTTAATGATCTCATTTTTGCCAGCTATTTCAACGTGATAATCCATACAGTGAGGGAATATGACTAAGTCATTTAGTACTTAGGCAGGCGTATTAATATTGATTGCAGAGATGTTTGCACTAAAAGTTTAAGCCCCTTTCTTTTCTACTATGGTTTTGATAAGGTCTAATCTCTTGTCACTGGTAATACTTTGTGCATTGCTTTAGTCAGTTTTCTCTAAGAAGCTTCGCATCAGTCCAGACTTAAGAACCATGGTGTTGAATTATTTGAGCAACTGCTTAGCGTTAGTGTCATAGTTCTTTAACTCCATATCCACTAAAATACTTTGAGGCGGCTGTTCTGTTACAGGGTCTAGCTGATCTAGGTCTGTGTAGTCGTGCTGAAGAAGGTCATTGAGATACTTGTCGTTGCCAGTCACCACAGTTGCCCCTCCATCTACACCTAAATTAGTGATGATTTAATTGATCTGTGATGAGGAATAGCTGTTTAAAATCATGTTTGAGAACTGGTCAATGTAGGTGAAGAATGGGGTCAAGCCAATGTCGACAGCAGGCTGTTCTTCCTTGCTTAAATGATTCTAGCGGAGTGTTTTGTTGCCTGGCTAGTCTAGCTATTCCACGATGTCTTAGTAAATCTTATTCAGGGAGTTCACATTCTACTCAAGAACTTGTCTCTTTTCTTATAATTGCTGCTATGCTTCTTCACGATATGGGATTGTTTCATCCACATACTTTGAGAAATAGTACTTATTGAAATTCCCAAATATCTCCTTATCATACTTTCCTTAATCATCTTTTAATACAGAATCTCTGACATCAATGGGAGTAACAATATAGCTTTTTTTCTCGTCAAAGCCTGACTAAACTAGTTTCTTACCAGTCTTGCCTTTAATTTTTTTGACAACGGTCGGATTGTCATGATTTTTTAGAATGAAGTCTAGCTTTTGTAGTTTCTAGTATAGTTCTATATCACTTGATATCAGCAAAGCGAATAAATGCTTATTTTGCAAGCAGGAGAACACATCTTATAGTATTTTTGAAATTAGATGTGGACTAAGGGTTAGTAATTATGAACCGTCTCCATCTGTCAAATTATTCTGCAATTAGAGCAAACATTCTGAAACTAAAGCATCGAGATCTTAACTAAGTAACTTGAAATGAGCCAGACTTTTTAGTTAATTTTTATGCTAGTAAGGAAGCTTCATGTTGAGTATTGTATGGTTTTCATCGTTAAAGTCTAAATTTTTAAATAGGGATTATACTGCAGGGTCTGTTTCCAATACTTTTTCATACTCAATCAATTCAAATGTCTCCTTATTATTGTAAGCATTGTTGTCAGATACCCCTCCCCAGAGTCTATTAAATATCTTGAAGAATGTTAAATGATCCATCTTTATTTCGTCAATATCTGACCCAACAAAGCTCAGCATATCATATTAAGTAGCTAGCTTCATCTTCAAGTCTTAATCTTCTTTGAACAGCTCTTCAATTAGTAAGTCCTGCTGATTCTTTTCAGACTGCTGGAGTGCTTGATCATCTTCGACCATCAAAGAATTTCCTTTGTCCATTGGTATTGGCATTTCCCTCAATTAATCTCTAAATTAATCGTAGTAGCTCTAATTATTGATAATATAGCTATGCTCTGCCTGAGCATTGTGTCTCAAAAATGTTTTGTATGTAATGAAGAATTAATTCCTAAGTTTGACTAATGGCTAAACAGGATCATAGTTAATATTTCTAAGATTAAGCAGTTAATGCTTGAGCTGCTATGGTGCGCCATCAATAAATGTATGGTTAAGCAAGTTTCTTGAGAGGAACCATTACTTTTTTTAAAAGGGAAAGAATGTTAAGGAGTCCATATCATTTGATACTTGCTCAAAATAATCTTTTGAAAGTTCCTTGTTTAATTCTGTTTCAGCCGCCTCTGGCTCTTAGACCAATTAATTTAGGAACTTCTCCACCACTTGATTCAAGGTAAACATCTTAGCATAAATATGATAGAACTCAGGTAAGAGGCCTCCAGCTTCCACCATCAGCTCTTGATTGTTTCCTGTTACTTGCTGAATAAACATCTCGAAAGCCTCTCTGTACTTAATAATTTCATCTACTAAGTACTCATTCTCATCATATGCCTGAGTTCCAACCATTTACATACTCATAAACATTGACTCTTTGATTATCAAACTTTCGTAATGAGTGTCATATTACTCAATCAACAGTTTTTAAGCGAGTGAAAGAACGCTTATTAAGTTTTATCTTGTTAAGTACTCCTACTCTACTTAAGATTTTAGGATTGATAAAATAGCAAAGGGACTCACATTCTTTTTATCCTATGCCTCCTCTAAAATATTTTAGACAATCGAATTGTAGTAAATTTTCTTTTGATGTGGGTTTAAAAGGTATTTAAGCTTCAGGTTAAACCTATAGCACTGCGGCTAGGTATCTTAAAGTAAAGTGAAGTACCTGTCCTGCTTTATCCTATTTAAAAGCAAAACTAGCAACTTCTCAAGAGACTCTTGCGACATATTGTGAGTCTCAGGAATTCCAGTAATGTTCTTACCCTTTTTAAGCATTTGCTCTTAAGCATGGAACTCTAAGACTTCAAAAATATCGTAAAATCTATCTATTTCTTCATTGTTTATAGGGTTCTGTGTAATGCTCATTGTTTTAATATTTTTCTAAAGATTTTAGAAGAGTTAAGAGTTCACAAGGTTGCCAAGATTTCCCTATTCTGCATTTTTTATACTCAATTTCATTTGTTGTTGCTATTTACTATCTAAGAATATGGTTTCGTTGTCTGTGGTATTAGCAATTATATGCTCAAGAGTTTTAGTGAAATTGGAATACAATTACTCATCATAAATTCTTACTTTGCTAAATAGTGCCATAACTACAGCTTTCTTGGAAGGAAGATAGAAATCGAAATAGTATTAATAAAAGGGTATAAGCTTTGAACAAGCTTTTAAGAGCTTGAAGTAATTTTCTGAGTTTGAACCTAATGAGGAGTAGTTAATGTAGTCAGTATTTGGATGGTAAACATCTTCTCCTGTCATTAGCTGGTACTGGGGCTTTGGTAAATCAGAAAATAGTCCTCTCATATTTAAATCCATAGCCTCGGCAAAGGCTGCCAAGGTATTACCTTTCTTGAACTCAAATTTCCCATGAGTAATATTGATCATTAGAGCAGTCATTATTGCATCTTTCTCCTTGAGAGATTTGTAGTCGAAAGCCTTATTCAAGATGAAAATCGACTTTATCTGTTACTTATCATTCATTTACCTTCTCTGATCTTTGAAGAACTGCTTTAGAGAATCATTAAGTTCATTCTTCAGAGCTCTGTCTGTGTCAACCAGCACTCTTTAGTAGCCACTTCTAAAGAACTTCATCCACTTCTCCTTCAATCTGAAGGGGTTGAAGGTCTCATCAATCTCAGTCTTAGGTATACTCTTTAGATACTAAACTATCTCATTGAACTTTTAGTTAGGCCTCTTTTTATCATCTAGCATTCTATAGAGGATTTTAGCTGAGTTGGTGCAGGTCTTGGGGATGTTATTTTCTTAGAATGGAATCTGATAGTAATGGCAAAACTCCTTGAGGTTTTACTTAAAGGTATCTAAAGTAGTATCAGTCTCAGCGTAGATCTTTATGTACTCTGGTGTATTCCAAACTTCAACTACCTCAGAGCCTTCCTAAGGCGTACCAGGTTCAAATGATTAGATCTTTCCATCCTTCTACCTGCTAGCAAAACTCTCCTTAGTTTCATAACGCATTTGGTACTTGCCTCTATCCATGTCATCTCTGGGCAACTTATTATCATCATTAAAGCCCATCTCATTTTTCAAAGCATTTTTCTAGCCCTTCTCTGAAAAGTGTTTGACCATTATCTAGCATAGATTTTTGTTCAGGGTAAAATGACTTTAATTTATTGCAGTACTGACTCCCATGATATTTCTTTGCCCAGTTATTCTTGAAAAGCTGTTTCTGGACTTTACTTAAATCTAGCAATATTTTGTAAGTGTTTACTTAGCAGCAAACATATTTGTATAAATAATTAATATTATTTAGACCATCCATCTCTTATTTTCAATCATGGGGTTTTGGGGTTTTGGGGTTTTGGGG